AAGGACCCCGACCCGAAACGTCAACTTTCCTGCTCCTCTGATGCTGCCTGGCCTGCTGTGTTCCTCCAGCTCCACACTTATGTTATCTTTGACTCCAGCATCGGCAGTTCTTACTATCTCCTTTTATGAAGCTGTTAGCTTAATGTGTTGATATTCTGTCTTCTCTGGTTAGATGATCTAACATGCAAAAGGCTGTCACTTAAGTGCAGTCGTACCATTGCTGAACAGCAGAACACTGGCTTAACATTTTTGATCATTTCTGTGGCTTTCCTATGCTACCCTGTTGTCGAGCAGAAAACAAAAGCTTTGTGTGGAGATAATTGTGGCAGTCGAAAGAAAATGTAATGCAAAGTGATTATTGCATTCTCCTGGCTTGGGTGGTCATGTTAGTGTAGTAAGGGAGTGATGTTAGTTTAATGAGGCTACCTTAAACACAGTGCAATGGCTGTTATACTCTAATGTTAGACTTCACGGATGTTGCAGCTCCAGAGTGTGACAATGTGTGTAAACCATGCAACCTGCGACTCTTTGGCACTAAGAGATCAAAAAAAAAGCAAAGCAAAGCAAACCTTTTTATGTATGGGGCAAAGATGGAACAAGTAATATCAACCTATTGATTTTGCTTATAAAGATCAAACTAAGGTCATATGTGAATTGTCCAATGCCACTGCACTGCAAATGCATTCTTAGTGATGCCAATAAGTTGAACAGTTTTTATATTTGGGATGCTTAACAAAACCATTAACATACTGCTGGTTACAAACTCCTGCACACACCTGCCATAGAATCTTATCAGCGTACAATATACAAAATTGCATGAGGACAGAATTATACATCTCCAATTCTTCAGTTCAAACTTGCAATCATACACTTGTAAACTTTTGTGGTAAGATTGATAGGGTTTGAAATCACAACTTGAATCTTGTGTCAAAAATACTGCAGATTGTGCTATATAAGTCTACCTTTGAAACTTTCATAAATATTTCCAAAGCCAGGGCTTGATACATACACTGCCATCAATGTGGGCAGTCACCATCTTAAAAATGGGGGAGAAAAATCCCATCAGTAATTCATATTAAGTGAATGTGGCACACTTTATTGAATAAATTAATATATAAGGTACCTTTTTAATGAAAGCAGTTTAAAAATGTCCAATTCTTTATCTCTTGCATTTGATGCAAACAGTTCATTACGTTTATTGACTCCTTTTAATATCTGTTCTTGAGCAGTCTCAAGACCAGGGATGACATTCTTCCACTCTAGAGTTGTGGGTCCTGAGGTGCCTGAAAACTCAAGTATTAGATCTGCCCTCACTGCCACACTTGAGGCAGGTGCTGTTGAAGAGGCAGCTGGTTTGGATATTCAGCTTTTTTTTTTTAAAACACCTTCCATCCGGTATTTGTGTTGTTTTCATCTTTCTGAGGTGCTCAAGATGGTTAGTACTTTGATGGGTGCTTCTCCAATTTTGGAAATACATCCCTGTAAGTCTGTGGGATTGTTGTTTTTTTCCAGGGACGCTTTGATGTGACTCCTCAGTGTTTTCTCTGCCTTCTTAACCACTTGCCATGACAAAGCTCTGAGCAGAGACCTTGTTTTGGCTTATCAGTCAATGCAGCAACCTGGCAGTAACTAAGTGCCTCTATGTTGATGACTTTGATTTCAGAAAGGACGTTGATGTTGGTGTGCCTATCCTAACAACAGATTCAGAGGGCTTTGGGAGGCAATTCTGATTATATTTCTCTCTGGAATTGAAATATCTGTTGTCCATGTCTTCGTTAGATCTGTGTGGGCGTATCTTCAATTCCCAAGCATATTCTTTGTAACACAGCTGCTATTGTTGTTTCCGGGATTAAAATTTGAAGATGGCCACTATTGAGAGAGGGCTCTTTTGGCACAGTGGTAGTGTACCTACCTCTCATCCAGGAGGTCTTTGTTCAACTGCCATCTGCTCCAGCAATGTAGCCATGTCTCTGAACAAGTCAATTATAAAATATAACATTTAATAGCTAAAAAGGGGGTGCCCACTTATATGCTGAGATATGCAAAGTATTGTTTTGGTGATTTAAAAAAAAATTGAAGCTCTCTTATGAAGGGGTTGATCTGTCGTTTGTGATCTGTGGTAATAGTTAATATAGCTGTCTCCATCTTCATACTGTTTTAGTATTTTACTTGTGTATAACAAACGCAAAATGTTTTTGTGTGCCCTCTGTCCTGTCTTTTTTCCCATTGTCTAACAGGTTGCATCACCCTGCCTCCGTTATTTGATGGCAGTGCAGAATCACCTCCTCAGTAACACGGTCCTCATCAAACCTGACGACCATGATGATAGTGACAGCTCCCTGCAGGGGGAGACATTGAAGGTACAGGTAAACATCAGGTTTCTATTCCAATAGCATCCTCCGCATGCAGTCTGTTGGTGGCAGGGCTTGGCAGGCAAGAGTGAAAAAAATGAAGACCAGTAGATTTTTTTCTGCCAGGCTTAAGCTTCTTGCATGAATTTTTTTATATACCATACTCATTGTTCCTCATAATAGCTGTATAATAGAGGAAGGGATAATTCTCAGGAATTTTAGCATTGATTAATTGAGCAGAATAGTTTGCTTTTCCAACCCTTGTATTTGTAGTCAAGACAAATAAATAGACATTTGCAATTACATAATCATAGAATTGTTGCAGCAGTAAACCAAGCCTTTCAGCTCATACTATCTGCGTTCGTTCCCTGAGCAGTTCGCCTAGTGCTGCCCCCATTTTCTCTCTCTTTATTGCCTTTGCTGAGTTTGTCTCTATTGGACTGCCAGACAGCACATTTACTACTAGCCATGTAAAAAAGTTTCTCTTTTTGTGCCTCCATTACTGCTTTTGCCAATTATCTTCGCCTGTGCCCTCCTCCTTAATCCTTGCACTAGTGGGAACATATTTCCCTATGTATACTGTCACTGATTTAACAAAAACGAAATCTTTTTAACCCTGAAGAAGGGTCGAGACCCAAAACGTCAGCTTTCCTGCTCCTTTGATGCTACTTGGCCTGCTGTATTCATCCAGCTCTACACCTTGTTATCTTTTTAACCCTTCCATCTTTGTCACCTTATCAAATTTAGAGTAGTCTCAGGGAACTGTAAATGCTAGTAAACAATTAAACATCTTCCACACCTTTGACCTTTTAACACCCACAAGAACAAGTGTGGCAAATCCATGGAAATATCACCACATGAATAGGTTCCTCTCTAAACTGGACACCATCCTGACTTGGAACTATATCGTTGATCCTTCAATGAGTTTAAAAACCTGGAACCTCCTTTCTAACAACACTGTGGTGTGTCTGCCAAATAAACTTCAGTAGTTCAAGAAGGTGGTTCACCATCACCTGAAGTGAAATCGGGAATGGATGGCCTTATCAGTGACGCTCGGGCCCTATAGAAGATAAAATAAAATTATAATCTAAGAGTTTGAAAGATGAACTCCAAGTATGGACACATTTAATTAAGCCGTAGCATGAAACTTTTTCTTTAATGGCCATAATTTATTCTGAAGATGACAATGACATCTTAAAAGTTCATAATTAGGAAAATTAGAATTATCAAGCATGTCTGTTTCTAGGTCCATGGAGAGATTGACATTGGCTCATTATTGTTTCGCTTCCACATATACATCAATGACATTTCTATCAACTATTGATAAATTTTAATTGAATTATGAAATTTGTAAGTGCAGTTGTCCCTTTTGGCATACATTCTTACAACTTGAAGCAATCTCTGTTTATCTGTTTAGGGTAGGCGATGGCCTAGTGGTATTTTCACTAGACTATTAATCCAGAAACCCAGCTGATGTTCTGGGGACCCGGGTTCGAATCCCATCATGGCAGGTGGTGGAATTGGAATTCAAAAAAAGTCTGGAATTAAGAATCTACTGATCACCATGAAATCATTGTCAATTGTTGGAAAAACCCATCTGGTTCACTCATCTCCTTCAGGGGAGGAAATCTGCCACCCTCACCTGATCTGGCAGACATCTGACTCCAGACCCACAGCAATGTGGTTGACTCTCAACTGCCCTCTGAAATGGCCTAGCAAGCCACTCAGTTGTATCAATCAATACAAAGACTCAAAGAAATGAAACTGGACGGATCACCCAGCATCGACCTAGGCACCTGAAAAGACAACCAGAAACAGCCCTGTCGACCGTGCAAAGTCCTCCTCACTAACATCTGGGGGTTAGTGCCAAAATTGGGAGAGCTGTCTCACCGACTAGTCAAGCAACAGCCTGACATAGTCAAATTCACAGAATCCTACCTTACAGACCATGTCCCAGACACCACCACCACCATCCCTGGATATGTCCTGTCCCACCAGCAGGACAGACCCAGCAGAGAGGGGGTGGCACAGTGGTGTACAGTCGGGAGGGTGTTGCTTTCAGAGTCCTCAACATTGACTCCGGACCCCATGAAGTCTCGTGGCTTCAAGTTAAACATGGGCAAGGAATTTCCCTGCTGATTACCACATACCGTCCTCCCTCAGCTGATGAATCAGTACTCCTCAATGTTGAACAACACTTAGAGGAAGCACGGAGGATGGCAAGGGCACAAAATGTACTCTGGGTGGGGGATTTCCATGTCCACTACCAAGAGTGGCTCGGTAGCAGTGCTACTAATCGAGCTGGTCAGGTCCTAAAGGACATAGCTGCTAGACTGGATCTGCGGCAGGTGGTGAGGGAACCATCAAGAGGGAAAAACATACTTGACCTCATCCTTACTAATCTGCCAGCTGCGGTTGCATCTGTCCATGACAGTATCGCTAAGAGTGACTATCGCACAGTCCTTGTGGAGACGAAGTTCCACCTTCACATTCATAACAACCTCCATCGTGTCGTGTGGCACTATCGCCGTGCTAAATGGGACAGACTTCACACAGATCTAGCAACTCAAGACTGGGCATCCATGAGGCGCTATGGGCCATCAACAGCAGCAGAATTGTACTCCAACATGATCTGTAACCTCATGGCCCGGCATATCCCCCACTCGACCATTACCATCAAGCCAAGGGATCAACCCTGGTTCAATGAAGAATGCAGGAGGGCATGCCAGGAGCAGCACCACGCATACCTGAAGATGAGGTATCAACCTGGTGAAGCTACCAAACAGGACTACTTGCACGCCAAACAGCGAAAGCAGCAATTGATAGACAGAGCTAATTGATCCCACAACTAGCGGATTAGATCTAAGCTCTGCAGTCGTGCCACATCCAGTCGTGAATGGTGGTGAACAATTAAACAACTCACTGGAGGAGGAGGAGGAGGCTCCACAAATATCCCCATCCTCAATGATGGAAGAGCGCAGCACAGTGCAGCAATCTTCAGCCAGAAGTGCTGAGTGAATGATTCATTTCAGCCTCCTCCAGTGGTCCCCAGCATTACAGATACCGGCCTTCAGCCAATTCTGTTCACTCCACGTGATATCAAGAAACTGTTGGAGACACTGGATACTGCAAAGGCTACGGGCCCTAACAACATACCAGCAATAGTCCTGAAGACTTGTGCTCCAGAACTTGCCGCTCCCCTAGCCAAGCTGTTCCAGTACAGTTACAACACTGGTATCTACCCGACAATGTGGAAAATTGCCCAAGTATGTCCTGTACACACACAACAGGACAAGTCCAACCTGGCCAATTATTGCCCCATCTGTCTACTCTCGATCATCAGTAAAGTGATGGAAGGTGTCCTCAACAGTGCTATCAGACAGCACATGCTCATTGATGCCCATTTTGGGTTCTGCCAGGGCCACTCCGCTCCTGATGTCATTACAGCCTTGGTTCAAACATGGGCAAAAGAGCTGAATTCCAGAAGTGAGGTGAGTGACAGCCCTTACATCAAGGCTGCATTTGACTGAGTGAGGCATCAAGGAGCCCCCAGCAAAACTGGAATCAATGGGTATCAGGGGCAAACGCTCTGGTGGTTGGAGTCGTACCTGACACGTAAGATGGTCGTGGTTGTGGGAGGTCAATCTCAGCTCCAGGACATCTCTGTAGGTGTTCCTCAGGATAGTGTCCCATGCCCAACCATCTTCAGCTGCTTCATCAATGCTTCATGCTCAATGTTTCATCACCTTCCCTCCATAATAAGGTCAGAAGTGGGGGTGTTCGCCAGTGATTGCACAATGTTCAACACCATTCGTGACTCCTCAGATAGTGAAGCAGTCCTTGTTCACATACAACAAGATCTGGACAATATCCAGGCTTGGGCTGACGAGTGGCAAGTGACATTCACGCCACACAAATGCCAGGCTATGACCATCACCAATAAGAGAGAATCTAATCACCGTCCTTTGTCATTCAACAGTGTTACCATCACTGAATCCCCCAAGATCAACATCCTGGGGGTTACCATTGACCAGAAACTCAACTGGACTCAAACGCATTAACACAGTGGCTACAAGAGCAGGCCAGAAGCTAGGAATACTGCAGCAAGTAACTCACCACCTGACTCCTCAAAGCCTGTCCGCCATCTACAAGGCACAGATCAGGAGTGTGATGGAATACTCCCCACTTGCCTGGATGAGTGCAGCCCCAACAACACTAAAGAAGCTTGACACCATCCAGGACAAAGCATCCCGCTTGATTGGTACTACCTCCACAAGCATCCACCCCCTCCACCACCAATGCTCAGTAGCAGCAGTGTGTACTATCTACAAGATGCACTGCAGAAATTCACCAAAGATCCTCAGACAGCACCTTCCAAACCCACGATCACTTCCATCTAGAAGGACTACGGCATCAGACATATGGGAACACCACCACCTCCAAGTTCCCTTCCAAGTCACTCACCATCTTGACATGGAAGTATATTGCCGTTCCTTCGCAGTCGCTGGGTCAAAAATCTGGAATTCCCTCCCTAATAGCATTGTGGGTCAACCCACAGCAGAAAGACTGCAGCGGTTCAAGAAGGCAGCTCACCACCACCTTCTCGAGGACAACTAGGGATGGGCAAGAAATGCTGGCCAGCCAGCGACACCCACGTCCCACAAATGAAGAGGGGGGAAAAAAATCTGAATATGTAATTTCACCCTTAATTACAGACTTGAAAATTTTCACCACCAAAAATGCTAAGCTAACTGCTAAAATTAACTTGGCTATCTGAAATCTATTATTTTTGTTTATAGATACTAACTGACCTGCAATTTCTGTTTTTATTTAACTTCAAGCAATTATGTCTTTTATTTTTATTGACTGCACATTCGGAGTATGACAAAGTCAATGGAAAGTTGAGAGTATTTTTTAAACTGTTGTAAAAAAGCCCCACACCAAACCTTTTCTCAAAAAGCTGCTTTACGTTTTGCACAAAATTTTGCCACGTATCATAGCCAATTAATTTTATT